CTAGGTAAAATGTTTCTGATAAAAACACTACCTAAAAGCAGCGAATGATCCGTAAAAGCCACAGGTAAGATCTGGCATGTTTTAAACACATTAAAATGGTGTTTAAAACAATAAAAACGATCTAAACGAGCTAAAGAGATTTTACTATCAACAATGTGGGACCAGGTAAACTGCCTGGAGCCTGTGTGCATCCTCCTCCATACATCCACCAGGCCATGAGACGAGACCAGCTGCTTCAAGACGCGTTGGGCCATCGGATGCAGCTCTGTGTGATTTCGATCTAAAAACTCGTTCTCAGTACAATTAAAATCCCCACTATAAAAACATAATCCTCAGTCCCGCAATCACCCAACCGTTCCCCAATTTTCTCATAAAAACGCTTCTTCTCTGCATTGGCTATCGGAGCATAGATGTTAATTAAAACAAAATTAAAAAGCTCAAACTTTGTCTTCACTAAAAGACACCGTCCTTGTATGATGTGCTCAGTCTCTATGCTAAGTGGGTAAAAGCTTTAGAAAAAACAAACCCTACACCTGCACTTTTTGAGGTGCCGTGACTCAACACTATTTCCCCCTCCACTCTTTAACCCATTCTGTTTCAGTCATTTGATCGCTATGTGTTTTCTTGTTTGAACAAAACATCAATTCTTTTCTGATTGATCATTTGGTAAACCAAGCCCTTTTTTAGCCTCCCTCGCCCCATTAAGATTTAAAGATGCAACCTTAAACGAATTCATAATGAGTAAAAGGCTAAAAACAAAATACAAAAAACAACCCGTGAGTAATGTTAAAAAGCTATTATGCATCATTAAAACTGTTTTCTAACTTTCGTCATTATTTTCTTTAACCTAAAAACCTCTGTGTCCGTAAACCCTGATACTTCTTTGTGTTTTGCATAATATCTTGCAGAGGAATAAAATATTTTTAAGTCAGGAAAATAGCTTTCTATTTTTATACCCTAAGTCCTTTCGTTCTTTTATGAATGTTCTAAAAGTTTCTACTGGGTATCTTGGTTCTTTACTCCCTTGTGACATCGAGATCTCACTGGTGTCAGAAAAACAGCTCTCCTCATCACTGCTTTCAGACATTTCTTTCCTCTCTCCAGTTACCTTATTAGCCTGCCTGCTGGCCTGCTCTGCAGTCACCACATTCCTTCTCTTACTCCGTCTCCTTGCCGGAGTACTCGCTTCCAATCCATTTTCCTCCTCTGCCTCACCCTTTTCTTTCTCTGTTCCACCTCTTGCAACTGATTTCTCACTGTTTATTTCTTTCACCTTTTCATCCACCTGTCCCTCTCCTCTCTCCCCATATCTCCACACACTAGATGTATCATGTTCTCTTTCACTCCGTCCTCCTGCCCCCCCTGTACATCTCCACTCTCCCCTTCTACACTCTCACCACCATCACCAGTCAGCCCACCACCACACACCCACCGTGCTCTCATTCTCTCTCACACACCTCCTACCACTTCCCTCCACTAACTCAACACTCACTTTCTTCAAAAACTCCCCACCTACCCTCTGTTCCCTTGCTACCGTTGACACCTTGTCTTTTCTGTTTAAAATAATGAAAAGTTGTCTCCAGTGGGAGACAACATGTTTTAACAATGGAGACTTACAACCAGATAAGATCTTTTTCACCGGTGACACCACTTTTCCATGTCTCGATAATTCCTTTACCAAAAACTTGTCGCTTATGAAAGGAGGAACATTAGATAACAACACCCTAGTGCTCGGTAATGTGAGAGGTGACACCTGTAAAAATAAACCATCAATTGATACACCCTTTCCCACCACCTGTTGTGCGTGCTCCACTTTCTCAACAAACAACACCACTGCCCCATTTATTCGTGCTGCTGACCTGATGCTCCCGTGCCCAATCAATTCACCACCGCCAAACAAACTTCCTCCACGCTGCACACAGAGCCAGCACCCACCTTGATGCCGTTCTTCCGTGTCAGCGTGGAGAAAGACCCACCACCGACAACACCCACCATTGTTGCCGTGAGACGCCGGCAAGCCAGGCACGCCCGACGGCCACACCCCAAACAAACGAACAAAAACCCCTTAAAACGTGATAAAACTAAACACAAGAAAAAACAATTAAACAAGTAAATTAAACACCCAAAAAAACAGTAAGAAAAGACAAAAGATATAGAAAACCACTCGCTCTCGAGCTCTCTTCCTCCGCTCTTCCACTCACGTCCTCCTCACACCGGAAGAAGAAGTAGAAGAAGACAAAGAGAACGACACGTGGTCTGTTTTGTTAAATGTTTGAGTGTTTCTCTAATAAATATCTCAAGTCCAGCTTATACCAGTCCAACTTAAACCAAATTTTTGGCTAATTAAAGTTAGCAAAAAAGTTTTGTGATAGTTTTGTCTTTAAAGTAAAATGAGATTGAAACTGATTTGAAAACTCGGAAAACAATCGAATCTCTGACCGGCGGTTGCCCATCTTTGTCTCACTTTTCGAGTGCTAGGTGAATGATATTTCACCCTATTTGCTCAAATTATCCAGAATAAACAATGTGAATGTCGACTGTCATAAAGTCTCCAAGAAGAAGAATAGGAGGAAGAACAATGAGATGGCGGATTCTGTTTTTTTGTTGAATGTTTGAGTTTCTCTAATAAATATCTCAGTCCAGCTTTAACGAGTTGTCATGGAAATTACAGTAAGGTCACATCTGCTAGTCATGTCATGTGAAATGTTTGTGAACTCTGACCAAAAGAATTGAATTTCTTGTAAAGAACTATTTGGGTTACTTGTACAAGGCTGGAAGGTTGTTTTCCACAGCTGCATAAGAACCAGACCGTCTTGCCCTTGTTTTCCTTCCTTATCATTGTATAAAAACATCCATGTTGTCTCTGTAGTTTGGTTGATTATTTGTCTTCAATAATTTAGTGTTTCTTTTGTCTTAGTTGTATTTTTCTCTTTTCTGCTGCAGCTTATTCTGTTACTAGGAAAAGATTTTAGGTTCTGCAAAGAGAACTGGCACTTTATGAGAAATCTGTAGCTGTAATGATCGTAGGATCCACAAGGTGGCAGTAATGCGATGACATGAATGAACGACAGTCATTAAACTCCAAAGAAGAAGACAAAGAAGAAGAAAAGGTAGAAGAAGAAGACAGAGAGGACGGCACGTGGTCTGTGTTGTTGAATGTTTGAGTGTTTCTCTAATAAATATCTTCAGTCCAGCTTAAACCAGTTAATCAGCGAGCAGTGAACTGCAGAAACATTGACGAGTTTAAAGAAATCATCGTCCAGTCGGAGGAAGAGATGGATGATCAGCGCAGACTGCTTGATTTCTCCCGGACTCCCCAGATCATCTTACACCGAATAGGTAGGAAACAGCAGCGTTTGGATGCAGGTTAAGGTCTAAATGTCTGCACCTTTCTGCATGAGGATCATTTTAGTAAACGCTCTTTTCCCGGATAAATGTTTTGTTAGCAGGTAAATGAACGCAGACATCACAATGAGAATGGCTGATTTATGGAGAGAAAATGGAGTTTCTCACAATCTGAGCTTTGTGCTGCGTCAGTTTTCGTTGTGTAGTGGAAGTAGTGTCAGTAGTCAGTTAAAACGTTGTAGCTCTGGAAAGGGACTTTGTAACGGCAGCCCCAAAACAAATACACACGTCATGTGCAAATAAAGTTGCCGAACTGAAGAAGAGTCTGTTTCGTATGGAAGCCCGTTTCCGCCACTCTTAAAAAAATAAAATAAAATTATCTCATTATAATGAGATAGTATCTCAAAATAATGAGATAGTATCTCAATATAATGAGATAGTATCTCAATATAATGAGATAGTATCTCAAAATAATGAGATAGTATCTCAAAATAATGAGATAGTATCTCAATATAATGAGATAGTATCTCAATATAATGAGATAGTATCTCATTATAATGAGATAGTATCTCAATATAATGAGATAGTATCTCAATATAATGAGATAGTATCTCATTATAATGAGATAGTATCTCAAAATAATGAGATACTATCTCAAAATAATGAGATAGTATCTCAAAATAATGAGATAGTATCTCATTATAATGAGATAGTATCTCAATATAATGAGATAGCATCTCAATATAATGAGATAGTATCTCAATATAATGAGATAGTATCTCATTATAATGAGATAGTATCTCAATATAATGAGATAGCATCTCAAAATAATGAGATAGTATCTCAAAATAATGAGATAGTATCTCAATATAATGAGATAGTATCTCAATATAATGAGATAGTATCTCAATATAATGAGATAGTATCTCAATATAATGAGATAGTATCTCAATATAATGAGATAGTATCTCAAAATAATGAGATAGTATCTCAAAATAATGAGATAGTATCTCAATATAATGAGATAGTATCTCATTATATTGAGATAGTATCTCAAAATAATGAAATACTATCTCAAAATAATGAGATAGTATCTCAAAATAATGAGATAGTATCTCAATATAATGAGATAGTATCTCAATATAATGAGATAGGAGACTGTGGAGGTTGAACCCCCTTTCGAATTGGTTCAGTCCACCTGGGCCGATTTGACGGTACCATCGGTCGCGCCTGCCGCCTGGAATCACCTAGCTAAATGTAGCTATTTACAACGGTAAGAATTGTGGTTTTGTTAATTTAAATTAAGTCTGCAATATAAGCTAGCATAGTATAAAGTAATCAATTTGTTATACTGACGACGGTAGCTAATTTTGAAGACATCAAAATTAGCTACCGGTTTCTGTTTCTTCACTTCGTCAGTGCACAACTGACTTTTCGTTGATTGTAGTTAATATCTGAGGATTACGTGGTACGTTTATTTGCTGTAATGATACATGTTCAGTCTACCACAAAGTGTAATAACTGGTGAGTAGTTCCTAGATGCTGCATCACGCTCCCAAACCATTGCGACGCCAAAACGATACCTCTAGCCTATGTATTTTTTTAAGTTAACTAAAATATGTCGTGGCATTTTATGTCACGTACTCTGTCAGAATCTCTCTCTTTTATTAAATTTTAAATACTTTATGTACCTGGTCCCCAAGCAAATAAATAAAATAATAAATAATTGTTTTGTCTGTTTGCAAATCAATTTCTTTGATTTAATCAGTAAGTTCAAGTAACAAACAAAACATTATGTGCTTGGTTTTGTACAGTGCAGGTTGTTTCAGAAAGAGAAGAGTGGATGGTGTGCACCAGCTGGATTTTCACAAGCCTTAACTCATCACACAAGCGGTATAAGTGACTTCTCTGCTATAGTGTGTTTCTCCAGTTCTCCATTGAAAGACCTTTATGCTCCTCAGACAGCTTCATTTTATGTTTTCTTTCCTTTTCTACTGCTAAAGACATTGTCAGTATGGAACGGTACAGTTCTTTGTTATTACCAATAAATTTTTCTTATCTTTTCTGTGAATTTAAAGAGGTTTCTCAAGATGTGTCCATTTAAACCACTGTATGCATAAATTTGTGTAATTACACAAATAAAATAACTGTGGTAATAGTTATTATAAAACAAAAGTTTAAAAAGATGCATTCCATTTTCTGTTCACCCTTGTTCCTATTGGGGTTGGGAGTTGCTGCTGCCTCTCCAGCTTCGTTCCAGGCGAGAGGTGGGGTCACTGGACAGGTTGCCAGTCTGTCACAGGGCAACATAGAAACAAACAGGACAAACAACCATGCACACACACACTCACACCTAGGGAGAATTTGGAAAGACCAATTACCCTGACAGTCATGTTTTTGGACAGTGGGAGGAAGCTGGAGTACCCGGGGAGAACCCACCATGCACAGGGAGAACATGCAAACTCCGTGCAGAAAGACCCCGGGCAGGGAATCGAACCTATGACCTTCTTGCTGCAAGGCAACAGTGCTAGTAACTGCACCACTGTGCAGGCCCCCTAGTAAAATCATTTCACAAAAAAATAAATAAATTGCGCGGAATTATGAATGTCCCGGCCCGGGGTCTTTCTGCATGGAGCCTGCATGTTCTGTGCATGTGTGGGTTCTCTCCGGGTTCTCCAGCTTCCTCCCACAGTCCAAAAACATGACTGTCAGGGTAATTGGTCTTTCCAAATTCTCCGTAGGTGTGAGTGTGTGTGTGCATAATTGTTTGTCCTGTCTTTCTCTGTGTTGCCATGCGACAGACTGGCAACCTGTCCAGGGTGACCCCGCCTCTCGCCCAGAACGCAGCTAGAGATAGGCACCAGCACCTCCCGCACTAGGACAATGGTGTTAGAAAATGGATGGATAAATGGCATTATGAATTATAATTAATTTTTCAGGAAAATTATAATTTGTAGTATGACTTGCTTTACATTTTTGGAAACATGATGGTCTTGTATCTTCACCTTCCAGTGTATGATCACAGAATGGATGACCTGAGTGATTTCCTGAGACAAAGAATTATTCCTGAGGAAACTATTGAGACCATGCTGAGAGAGAAGGTACAAGCTAAAAAATAAATCAGTATTTCAAAAATTACAGTTTGTTTAAGGCATGTGTCTAGCAATGTTATATAATTGAATTCAAATAATTTGCATGCAATTCTAGTTCCATAAGTTTTAAAATAAATTATTTTTTATTCTTCTTGTTTAGATTGATAGCAGTGTCATCCAACTCATGACAGATGAAGAGCTAAAGAGTTATTTGCCATCATATGGAGACTGCATCGCCCTATTAGGATACTGTAAAAGGAAGGAAACTGGTCCCCCAAACAGTCGCAAATCAAAACTGTTTGAGCGCCTGAAATCAAAGCTGGGTAAAAGGAAAACTGCCAGATGGAACTCCTGAGATGGGATATGATGACGGAGGAGTCGTCAGAGACTGTCTTTCTGAATTCTGGAAAGAATTCTATGACCAATGTACTACAGGAAACACTTAAAGAGTGCCTTTTCTGAGACATGATTATGGACAGAGCCAGTGGGAGAGTGTAGGCCGAATAATTGTTTTTGGATGGACAAGAGAGAAATATCTTCCTATGAAGATTGCACCTGTCATACTAGAGCAAGCAGCCTTTGGACAGGTAAAAAGTGATGTAGTGGAGAATTTCCTTAAGTGCATGCCTGAATCTGAGCGCTTTGTGTTTCAGTCATGGCAGTCAGACTTCAGCAGTGTTGACCAAGAGGAATTGATAGAGATTCTTGATAACTACAGTTGCAGACGAATGCCAACTGCCAGCAACGTAAATGAAATCCTCCAGGAGCTTGCACACAAAACACTTGTCCAAGAGCCTGCTTATGTTATTGAACAGTGGGCCAAAACACTCAGTAACACTGGGAACAGCTTCCAGGATCTTTCTTCAGTGTATGAAAACTTACAACCAAATGCAAGAAAAGTTTTGAAGTCCATTGTCTTTCCTCAGGAAATGAGTGGTCATCAGAAGGACATTCAAAAGTATGTTAGCACATATATCAGGAACGCAGATTTGCAGCATCTGTCCTTGTTTCTAAGGTTCTGCACAGGTTCAGACCTGTTCTTGGATAAAATTCTTATTGATTTTACAAAGATTCAAGGGTTTCTCAGAAGACCTGTGGCTCACACATGTAGCTGTGTCCTCGAGCTGTCAATCTATTATGATAGCTATCCAGATTTCAGTGCTGAAATGAACAAGGTTTTGGACTCTAATGTATGGGTCATGGACATTATTTAAAGATTTTAAAGTGATGGAGGAAAAGGAAAAAAAAAGAGATTAAGGTGGCTATTTAAAGTAACAAGTTGCCTATCAAAATCTAAGTAGATGTTTTCCCCCAATTTCCTTATCAGAATTTAAGGTTTTACAGATAACAATTTACCAGGGTGATGTTACCATTCCCAAATTTCTACAGATGTTATAAAAAGGGATCACTTATTTGTGAGAGGTGAATGTTTGTTTGTGCAGCACAGCTGTTGGTTTGTTTAAGGGTAGATTGTCAAAACTCTACCATATATGCACAAGTTCTGCAAATTCAGATCTGTTAACTGTCAGTGGAATGTCAAAATAATGGATTTTTCTTTGTTGAAAGAATACAAAATAAATATATTTTGAATAAAGTGTAGGGTCTGTTTATTTTGCTGTTGCACTGTAAACATATTTATTGGCCATAATACTGAAAAACATATATACGGTACAGACCAAAAATTTGGACACAACCTGCAAGAAAGCTCATTTACTAACCTGACAGGTCACACCTGTGAGGTGAAAACCATTTCAGGTGATGACCTCTTGAAGCTTATCAAGAGGTCGTCTGTGATTACTGTGATTTGCATTAATCATATTTACCTTTTGCAGTAATCACAGCAAAAGGTTGCTACTTTTGAAGAAACTACAATAAGGCGCTTTTTCAGTTGGTTCACACTTTTTTGGTTTAGTACACGTGTCAAACTCAAGGCCCGGGGGCCAAATCCGGCCCGCCGTAGCTTTTTATGTGGCCCTCCACAGACTACACTAAATACTAAGTGTGATTAAATATTATATTATCAATCCTATCAATGCAGTTTTTTATCTGTTTACTGCCAATTTATCAACCAATCCCTCCAATTTCTTGAGTATTTAGTTGATGTATGATTATAGTCCATGATTTATACAGCGAGTAAATAAACAGTCACATTTATTATAAGTTCCTGAAGGGAAATCTTCAATAATATTATGTAATTTTAAGAATTCATTGACATATTAACCGTTTGTGAACAGGTTTTATCAACTCATTCTGGCACAACCAGCCCTTTAAGAGCCTTCATGATCTTGATTTGGCCCAAAACGAAAATGAGTTTGACACACCTGGTTTAGTCCATATTTCCACAAGTGTTAATTCATAGTTTGATGCCTTCAGTGTGAATCTACAATGTCAATAGTCATGAAATAAAGGAAACTCATTGAATGAAAAGGTGAGTCCAAACTTTTGGTCTGTACTGTATGTCAAGAGTAATGACAACATTTGTACTCTTATCGAATTAATACCAACTGCAAACAATCATGTTGGTAGGAAAATTGTCACAAATGGTTATCTGTTAGTAATAACATGATTAAAACATTGCCTTGTACATATAACACTTTCCCCGACTAAGTAAGGGTAAGAAACAGAGAACCTGCAAATGCTGCCACTATTTAGTGCTGTTTTGAAGAAGAGGCTTGTATTTTTGCAATAATAAAGAAGATTTAATACATAGAAATTAGTAGATTGACCTTGACCTCAATGTTGAAGGAAACTAAAATGTATTAGTGTTTTTAAATAAACCATAGAAAAATTGTAACTCATTCATGCATTTAAGTTTTACAATCGCAATGTTTACACAGGACATACTGACATAATATCTGACTTGTTAACCTGGGCGATTTAGAGAAACTATTCCCTCAGCCCATCACTGATCATTTGGCGGAGTCTTACATAAAGATTAGTAATTTCATATACATCATCTGTCATTACCAGTCTGTGCTCTGTCATGAGTTCAGTGCATAAGTGAAATACATCGACGTCACAGGGAAAGTCCTTGAAATGACATTCTTCTACACATAGTTCCAGCTTTGTTAGATTAGCAGACTGTAAAAAGTTTGGAACCCCATACAGGTTGGGAACACCATGCATTAATGTGGGACGACCAGGAGGAGCCCGAGGATTATTTGTAGATCGTATTCGATGGTCATTCCATGTATGAACAACTTCATCCAGCTCCATCTGTATGATAAAAAAATTGAAAAAAATAAAATAAAATAGTTGTTAAAAAAAAATTCATGCTTATGTATTATTTGTAACTTATTTCAAATTTGTGTGCTAAAAGTAAGAAGTAAATTTATAGTACCTGTATTGTTTGTAAGAAGCAAAACTGGATCAGTGATTTGTCCAGAAAACTGTCAACAAAATAGCCGTCAGCTTTAAGCTGGTCGAAATGTTCCATCCAAAACTGGGTACATTCACTTCTTAAAGTGCACCACCATCGCTCTATCCTTTGATTTCCTGTACTCGGACCGAGAATAACAGAGTCAAAACCATTTTCATTCTCGGTGTTGTGCAGAAATCTTTGCATCGCTGCCGCATAAGTGTTCTCTGTGCCATGATCCATTCGTATCTTTTGAGGAAATCCATTATACTCCATCACAGCGTCAATGAAATAGCCAGCAATAATGTGAGGATCACTATTAGTCTTATATGCTTCGAGCCAGATCATTTTCCTTGAAAAGCCATCTATGCATCCATTAATACATATCCCATAAGGCTTTAATTTATCGTACCCATCGATGTGCCAGACATAGTTTGGTCCCCGACTGACATATAAGCGTCGTCTCAAGCGATTTTGTGCACGCAGGTCAACCCCGTTGGGATCCAATAGGCGCATCAAAAGACGTACTGTTTCTCTGTCTGTGACTATGCCAGCCATCCAACATTTCTGGTGCATCCACCTGTAGCCGTGCTGTCTCCCAGATCCTTGTAGTTGATGCTCTATAAAAGAGGCCACTTCTGCAACATCTGTCTTATTTTTTCTACGCCAAAGGCGCTTCTTTTGCAGTCTTCTCTCCAGCGTCCGGAGACTTAATTTGACATTATGGGTTTCTTCCAAAACTCCCAAAATTTCAAGATTAGTAAAACCACTTCTGAAGTATTGCTCAATGATGTTATCAATATCCATTTCTTTCTATCAAGCTGAGTATATTTCAAACTATAGGGCCAACTCAAGTTATCTCATTATAATGAGATACTATCTCATTATAATGAGATACTATCTCATTATTTTGAGATGCTATCTCATTATAATGAGATACTATCTCATTATTTTGAGATAGTATCTCATTATAATGAGGTACTATCTCATTATAATGAGATACTATCTCATTATTTTGAGATACTATCTCATTATAATGAGATACTATCTCATTATTTTGAGATACTATCTCATTATAATGAGATAGTATCTCATTATAATGAGATAGTATCTCATTATAATGAGATAGTATCTCATTATAATGAGATACTATCTCATTATTTTGAGATACTATCTCATTATAATGAGATAGTATCTCATTATTTTGAGATACTATCTCATTATAATGAGATACTATCTCATTATAATGAGATACTATCTCATTATTTTGAGATACTATCTCATTATATTGAGATACTATCTCATTATTTTGAGATACTATCTCATTATAATGAGATAATTTTATTTAATTTTTTTAACAGAGTGGCGGAAACGGGCTTCCATAGTTTCGTGAGTGCAACACTATTTGTGTGTTTGGTTTCCATCCATCCGTTTTCTAACTCGCTTATCGCGAGAGTTGCTGATGCATCTCCAGCAGTTGCATATTTAGGTTTATATTGTACATATTTCATACTTTAGTTGCACTTTTCCAACTGGATTTTCTTTCATTGTACATGTGTAAATCCAAAGTAATTCAAAGTCTTTCTATCTTGTTATTAGAGGATGATCAGGGTCTCTGCTCCAACTCTTTATTTCTAACGGGTCGATTTGTCTAATTTTAGATATTTTTTCCATGTAACATATTTTTGGGCTTCTGGGAGAAGCTTTTCACAATATAGCCCACTTTGTTTCAAACTGCTTTTGAGCATTATGGAAGAGGAAGATACGGCGGAAAGGTGATAAAACCATCAAAAAATGTTTGTTTTGGTATGTTGCCATACAAGATGGCGCCCAGCGACGTAAACGTCACACGCAGTGACATAACTTCCAAGCCTCTAGAGCAGGGGTGTCAAATTCATTTTGGTTTAGGGGCCGCATTCAGCTCAACCTGATCTCAAGGGGCCGCACAAATTAACTCATTGCAAGATTAAATAAAACTAATGAAAGTGGACTCGTTGATTTTTAAATTAAACAAATTTCACTTTTACAAAAATATATTATGAATAACTAAAGACTTTTTAAGAAAAGTATATACAATTTCAACAATAATTTTACTCAGTTAAACATTTATTTAAATGCATTATGCATAAGAACTGATCACAGTGATTGTACAAAGTTGCAAAACATTTATTCAGTTTTTGGAACTTCAAACACTGTCCTGCGTGACAAAATACATCAAACAGATAAAAATTTAGAAATGATTTAAAATCAATTTAAATCATTTCCACCCCGACTCGGTCCATCCCGACTCGGTCCATCCCGACTCGGTCCGGCGCTCCAACAACGGAGCGGAAAATGTCTTCAGATGTCGGTCATGGGCACCAACTCTAGAAACTCCTCTGACAGTCAACATCAACTCCACGAATAAATATGGCCAGTTGAGCGACATCTGCAACATCAGTACTCTCTCTCATCAATGGCAACAGAAAATGCCAGAAATGACTCCGTTTTTCGTTTGAGCTGGTTGTCCAAATTTGCCGATAGTTCTGAAATCCTGTCTGCGACGGTATTTCTAGTCAAGCTAATATTGGAAAAGCTTGTCGCTTCTCAGGACACAACTTGAGCAGCTTCAGCATGCAGTTCTTGCCGAACTCTCCCTTACAGTGAGGCTTTGATGCTAACGCTATTTGGCTAGCAGTTAGCTAGCTGGCTTTCACCGCAGCATCACTGGCCTCGACTCTGGGTGAAAACAGATTGCTGTTTCCTCAGACCGTCAACATTTCATTTATCTTCTGATTTCTCAGTTCTCCTTGCAAGTGCTTGTATTTTTCACCATGCTGAGTTTCATAGTGGCGGTGAATATTGTATTCCTTAAGCACCGAAACCTGCTGCAGGCACACAAGGCACACGGGTTTTCCATTCACCTGCATGAACAAATAAGCAGTCAATTTTTCTTGAAAATTCCGACACTCTGTGTCTACTTTTCTCTTTTTTGAGAAAGACATGTCGTTGATGAGGCTGCCGGGGCCAAAATAACACGCGGATGAAGCGATAGAATCGAAGCTGTTTACAGAACCTGAAGCTCATTTGAGAATTCTCCAAATGTCAGGTGGATTTGTTGACTGATGTGTATCTCTGTCTACGCTGTTGAATTTTCAATGTTATTTTGTTCATTTGTGTCTTAAACTGTGAACAATTTCTACTATTTACTTCAGTAAAGTTAACACTTATTCTTTTTATCTGTTTGCTTATCCAGATTCCCTGAAGTGTAACGTTTATAACCAGGAGAGGAGATCCACTCTGGACCAGGAGGAGTTAGAACCTCTGCAGGTGAAACAAGAACAGGAAGAGCCAGAAGATCATCAGATAAAAGAAGAACAGGAGGATCTAGAACACCTGCAGATAAAAGTGGAAGAGAAAGAAGTTTACTGCAGTCAGGGTGAAGAACAGATTGCATTAAAACAGGAGACTGATACCTGCATGGTGGTTCCTGTTGATCAGCAAACATACCAAACTGAATCAGAACCAAACAGGAACCAAGACATGTTAGAAAAGCCTGATGAAACTGAGAACCAACATCAGGACAAAAGAAAACCTTTATCAGGTGCCATCTGTAAAAAACAATTGACTGCCAAATATGCTGTCAGTGATCATATCAGAATTCATGAGTGTGAAAAACCGTTTTCATGTGTGAACTGTGGAAAAAGTTTTTGTCGAAAACAGCATTTAACTCAACACATGAGGATTCACACTGGTGAAAAACCGTTTTCATGTGTGAACTGTGGAAAAAGTTTTAGTCAAAAACAGCATTTAACTCAGCACATGATGATTCACACTGGTGAAAAGCCGTTTTCATGTGTGAACTGTGGAAAAAGTTTTAGTGAAAAACGGGCATTAACTCAGCACATGAGGATTCACACTGGTGAAAAGCCGTTTTCATGTGTGAACTGTGGAAAAAGTTTTTGTCGCAAACAGCATTTAACTCAGCACATGAGGATTCACACTGGTGAAAAGCCGTTTTCATGTGGGAATTGTGGAAAAAGTTTTAGTCAAAAACAGGATTTAACTCAGCACATGATGATTCACACTGGTGAAAAGCCGTTTTCATGTGTGAACTGTGGAAAAAGTTTTAGTCAAAAACAGGATTTAACTCAGCACATGATGATTCACACTGGTGAAAAGCCGTTTTCATGTGTGAACTGTGGAAAACGTTTTAGTCAAAAACAGCATTTAACTCGGCACATGATGATTCACACTGGTGAAAAGCCGTTTTCATGTGGGAACTGTGGAAAAAGTTTTCGTCAAAAACAGGATTTAACTCGGCACATGAGGATTCACACTGGTGAAAAGTCTTAAAAGTTCACTATAAATGTCATTGTAATAAAAATGTGTTATTTACTGGAGGGTTTGCATCTATAAAGTGGTGGAATTTTTTTAATTAAGTTGTTAAATGTGATATTTATTTGCACCAAGGATGTGTGTTTGTAGCAGTAGGAAGCAGGCCGATTTGAGAAGCAAAATGCCTGAAGCCGCAGCTACACTGATAGCTTGACTAGACGAAAAATGCCAGTCAAAAAGAAAATGTTATCACCTTAGCAGGAGAATGGATCAAAGACTAGAAGTCCTGAGAAACTCTTGTTTTGTAGCCCAGAGAAACAAGAAACAAGAGAAAAGTTTTTATAACCTCAAGAAATTGACAGACAGGATCTTCAAGAGCTACGAAAATGTGCTTGGAAGACAACAGCTGCATGGATGCAGGATGACAACATTGTTTGAGCAGAGACTTGTGACTGAAATCTGGTCTCCTTCTATGCAAATGATTTGTAAGCAACGCCTCAATGTAATAAATATTGAGTTGTATGAGAGCACGTTAGAACTGGCCTGGAGACGGAGATAGCAGACGTCCTGAAGCTGGCTCTCCATTCAATTCTATTGCATTTAAAACTTCAACTGTATCTCTTTCATCATATTGTGAAATGTTTGATAAATGTTTTCTGTTCAGATCCAACAGTTTCCTTGAGAGATTTTCTTACTGTCGTTTTGTAATTGTTTTGCTTACAAATATATTCATGCCTTACAATAAGTAATTATCTTGTTTGGATTAAAAACATTTAATCATTCTTTTTCAGCGGTTTCATTTATGCATTATAACAAGTAATCGTCTCACAAAGTTTCAATGTTCCAGAATCTTATTGTAGCATTCATATTAATATTATAATATTGTGCTTTTAATGCTTCTTGGGATTTATTTGAACATTGTTCTGCAAAAGCAGTGAAAAGGTCAACTGCCATTCTCAGTGCTCTTGTGGACCATTGTGACTAATTTCATGCATTAACAGAGTTTGACTGGACATGGACTCCCTTCCAGAACATTCTCATAAGATTGGACTTGAGGAATTGATTTGTATTATTCTATTCTGTATAGAGAAAGTGTGAGGGATGGATGATGTTTATCTTAATACACTAATTATCAAAAATACAATGTGCTGTTATGCACTGATGTTACATTTTCTTTGATGATTAGATAAAAAAATCCATTTAAAAACTTTATGAAATCACTCATTGATTGTTCATGATTTTTTAAAAGTTTGGTTGATTATTATTGTCTTCAGTAATTCTCTGTGTGTCTTTTGTCTTAGTTGTATTTTTGTTTTTTCTGCTCTTTTCTATTACGAGGAAAACATTTCACGTTCTGCCACGAGAAGTGGCACTGAGAAAAATCTGTAGATGTGATGATCGTAGGATCCACAAGGTGGCAGTAATGCAATGACATGAATGCAGTTAGTCATAAAACCCCAAAGAAGAAGAAGACAAAGCAGAAGAGATGAAACGAGGTTATGGCTGTTCATAACAGAATTATTTAAATCTGAAGACAAAGGTATAGTTTGGAGAGGAAGCAAGAAGATTTGGAAAATTAGGTGGGATAATGAAATAAATGGAAGGCATTTATATACAATTGATGTAGTAATGGTTAGAGGAATAAACAGGAGGGAGGAGATAATTATGAATAGAATAAGAACCAGTCAGTTTTTTTAAATGGAACTCTTTTTAAGATGGGGAAACATCTTACTGGTTTATGAAGTTGGTGTGATTCTATGGAACATGTTTTTATTAGGTATAGAAAATATGTAAATCAAAGATACGAGAATTTGTGACATAGATATGAGGATCCAATAGGTGGCAGTAGTGCAAGAGCAATGGATACAAACTGCCGTTACAATGTAAAGAAGAAGAAAAAGTAGTAGAAGAAGAAGAAGAAGAAGAAGAAGAAGAAGAAGAAGAAGAAGAAGAAGAAGCCAGAGAGGCACATGGTCTGTGTTGTTGAATGTTTGAGTGTTTCTCGAATAAATATCTCCAGTCCAGCTTAAACGAGTGAATCAGCGAGCAGTGAACTGCAGAAACATTGACAGAGTTTAAAGAAATCATCGTCCAGTCGGAGGAAGAGATGGATGATCAGCGCAGACTGCTTGATTTCTCCCGGACTCCCCAGATCATCTTACACCGAATAGGTAGGAAACAGCAGCGTTTGGATGCAGGTTAAGGTCTAAATGTCTAGTGTTACTTCACTATTGTATCCCACTTTATGTTGGATAATTACATAAAATTCTTATGAAATATATTTTCAGATGTGTTTATGTGATAAAATTTGGAAAAGTTCAAGGGTTAATACTTTTGAAGCCACGGGAGAATCAATGCAGTGAAGATGTGGCGCACCTAAAAATGCCACCCCAATTTTTTATTTTGGTTGTATTAATATTTATTAAATAATTTTAAAATATTTTAATGTATGACTTATTCGATTTATTCCAAAAATGAACAAGTTATATTTTGTTTGTTTCGGAGCAGCAGTGGCGAAGCGGAACTTTTTTTGGGGGACGTTGCTCCCGGGTTGGTTTTAAAGTGGAGTTCCGGTTTTTTTTTTTGTTTTGTTTTGTTTGGGTGACTTCTCTCTTAAATGATGGAAGTTTTTTATTTACTTCAATGAAGTGAATTCCTAATTTTCTCTGTTTTCTTCTCCAGATCACCTACAACATGACGTTTATGAGGATGAGCTAAGTCAGCAGGAGAGGAGATCCACTCTGGACCAGGAGGAGTTAGAACCTCTGCAGGTGAAACAAGAACAGGAAGAGCCAGAAAATCATCAGATAAAAGGAGAACCGAAGGATCTAGAACACCTGCAGATAAAAGTGGAAGAGAAAGAAGTTTACTACAGTCAGGGTGAAGAGCTGATTCAATTAAAACAGGAGACTGATACCTGCATGGTGGTTCCTGTTGATGAGCAAACATACCAAACTGAATCAGAACCAAACAGGAACCAAGACATGTTAAAAAAGCCTGATGAAACTGAGAACCAACATCAGGACAGAAGAAAACCTTTCTCATGTATCATTTGTAAAAAGCGTTTTGCCTTCAGATCTGCTTTTGAGGCTCACATGAAAACTCATACTGGTGAAAAGCCATTTTTATGTCTGACTTGTGGAAAACGTTTTTGTCAAAAAGAGGTTTTAACTCGACACATGACGATTCACACAGGAAAATGCCGTTTTTGTGTGTGATCTGTGGTAAATATTTTTGTCAAAAAAGGCTTTTAACTGGTCACATGAGGTGTCATACAGATGAAAGTCTTTCATGTGTGTGATCTGCGAAAAGCAATTTTCTTTCAAATCTGCTTCCGATGCTCACAAGAGAACTCATAGGAAGGAAAAGCCTTTTTCATGTGCTACCTGTGGAAAGTGTTTTGCTTTCAAATCTGCTTTTGATGCTCATAGAACTCACACTGTGGAGAACCCCCTTTTAATGCGTCACTTGTGGGAAATGTTTCAGTCAAAAACATGTTCTACTTAATCATATTGTAATTCACACAAATACGAGGCCTTTTTGGTGTCTTATTTGTGGAAAAGGTTTGAGTAAAAAATTTTATTTAACTGTCCACATGAGAAATCACTCGGGTAGTTATTAATTTAGAGCGCAAAAAAAAAAAAGAAATTCTAATAAAAAAGCCTAATTTGTCATTCCTGACCATAACATGGTTGTCATGGGTGACATGAATGCAGACATCTCAGATAAAAACTCAGTTTGCTAAACACCATTTTTTTTTTACAAATTCTAATCTAGTATTGTCAAGTAAAGAGCGTCTGCCAGCTGCTAGCTACATTTATGTAATTGAAGCCTGGCATACTGTGTCTTGGTTGGACCATTGTATGACTACAGCAGATGCTCATCTTGCTATGCTATACCTAAATATCTTATGCAATATGTCCACTGTTGACCACATCCCCTTCGAGGTGTCAACTAAATGTGAACAGTAATCAAATAGCTCATTACTATGCCCAAACTGATCAATTGTTATGTACCATTAAAATACCAAGAGAGGCAGTTACTTGTTCAGACGGTAACTGCTCTATTATTGGACACAGAGCCAATATAACTGGATTATATTCTAATATAATTGAAGCTACTGGGAGCTGGCCTGCCTTATGATAAAAGTAATATAAAGATTCAAAACAGACCAGGCTGCAACACCTATGTGTCTAAATACCACAGTGAAGCTACTACTTCTTGGGCTCTAGCAGGTAAACCTAGGCAGGGCCCTTTATTTGAACATAAAAAGCGGTCTAATGCAAAATACAAATATGCACTATGGTTCATTATCCAGAATAAGAAAACCATGAGGGCTGACTGCGTGGCAAAAAAGCTTATAGGTAAGGATACAAAAGCCTTTTGGAAAGAGGTTAAAACCATCAACAACAGTAAATCCTCTCTCCCTTGCACTGTCAATGGGGCTTCTGGGACGAATATGATTGTTGATTTTTGGCAACGTCACTACAGAAAATTATTTTCCTGTGTATACAGTGAACCCTTTCAAGTTGACAAGGTTAGTACTGTAGAAATGATCAAAACACACGAGGTCTATCAAGCAATTAAGGAACTGTCTGTAAATAAATCTGAAGGAATGGAGTTCAAGGGTCGCCCCTCTTCTTGCCTTGTGTTTCACTGATTTTATTATTCCTGTTTTTATTCCTGATAGCTTGATGAATGTATTTCTACTTCCAGTGATTTAAAAAAAAAAGCTGGTAAAATAGGCAGCTCTGATAACTATAACCTAGTACACACTCTGAAGTCTTTGAACTTATTCTTTTGCCAAAATTTGCAGATTGTTATGTCTGTAGACAATCAATTTGGGTTCAAGACCAACCTGATACATGAGAATTACTGGATAATTATAACAGTAAAAACTCTACAGTTTTTCTGTGTTTTTAGACGCCACTAAGGCTTTTGATCGTGTAAATCAGAAAAAACTAATTTTAAAATTGTGCAACGCTGTTGTGGGCAAATATATAGTAAGATGTCTGTCCTATTGGTGTGCTAATCAAACTATGCAGGTCAAATGGGACAAGTGTATGTCTGCATCCTTTCGTCTGAGATAAGGAAGCATTTTATTTCCTATGTTGTTTAATTTTCATGTGAATGATCTCTCTAATCTCCTGAACCTGTGTAGAACTGGCTGCATGGATGGTGAAACTATTATTAATCATTTAATGTATGCTGATGACCGAGACGTTTTTAGTCCCAGTTCAGCTGGTCTTCAGAAACTGCATCATGTTGGTAACCTACATGATAAATTCAATCCATCAAAAAGTATCTTGATCTGTTGCACTAAGGAGGAAAAAAATAGGGCATTTCAAAATTTCAAGCTGTCTGGGACTCTATTGAATTTCTCTAATGAAGTAAAATATCTTGGTCATGTGTCGACAGACTGTCTGTGATTTACCGTCAGGTCCGAATGTCATCTGCTCAGGCAAATATCCTTGTTTAGATCATATTGTACATCACTGTATACTGCACATTTGTGGTGCAACGTTCAAAGAGCCAGTCTTCAAAGATTGAAGGTGGCTGACAATGACTTTTGTTAAATAAGCCCAGATGGACCAGTGCCAGTGAACTGTTTGTATCCGCTCACGTCAGCATTTTGATGGCTGTTTTAAGAAAGCTTATGTTTAATTTTATTTGTCATATAATCGAGTCTAATAATAGCATTATCCTACTGTTGATGAAATATATTGCAGT